CCGCAGAGCTCAGCTCTCAGCAGAGCAGCTGCTGTCAGAGCAGCTCAACTCCACAAGTTTTGACTGTTGGTCTCATCCGTTCATCTCGAGTGTTTCATTACGAACACCTGAATGGTGAAGGATGCTGCAGCCATTCCTTATTAAAGCTGTTTCCTTTCACAACACGTTTTTTGCGACTTTTCTTAACGCTCCAGGGATGAAGAATGAAATTACTCTGCATTTCCCCAAAGAGGACCTCAGAAAATTGCAAATCTGTAAAGGCCACGGAACACTTACCCCTGGCAGACGGGTATCACAATGGTTACACATGAAGAGAGGGAAGCCCAGAGTTGGTGAGCTGCTGAGCACAACACTAAGTCAGTGTCAAAGTCAGGCTGGAAAAGCTTTTCCTGCCCTCTTACATAGGGACACTTCATCATTTTGATCTTCTCTTTCCAGTCTTCTGTGGCAAAACACAGTATCCAGATTCCATTCCAAAGAAGAATTAAAAAAACCCAACATAACACTAAGTTAGTTCACAAGCCAGTTCTTCCCAGACCGATCACCTCTGCAAAAGAGGTCCTGGCTGCTCTGACAAAGCCAGCTGCTAATTTCGCTGCACTTCGGTACAGATTTTCATAAATTCTTTCCTTGCTGCTTTTCTTTTTCTTTCTTCCTTCCTTCCTCCAGGGCTGCGTCCTGGGGAGCTCTTCCTCTGCTCTGCCCAAACCTGCTGCCTGCACCCCTGTCACCAGTGACCAATGCAAAACACCATAAACCGGACTTGAACCCAACATGAACCCACCCAGGTTCCCCAGGCAAACAGTATGTCAGCAAGATGTGTCCTCAACATCCTGATCTAAAGGACTGTGAAAACAGCTAGAGAAGGTGTCGGGAAACAAAACCGCAGGAGGCTGAAGATGGAACAGATCTTGCACCGGAGGGCATCGGAGCTGGAAAACTAAACCATCTCTTCTTCCTCTCTGTGGGCTGCACTACTGTAGTGACAGTTTCGTATGTAGAGGTATCTGGCCAAATTCAGATCTTCATGAGGGCTGTTCTGCTTACGTTGAAGCTAAACAACTGCTAGCCCTACGACACCTGCTGACTGCTGGACCACGCAGCATCGTGTCAGCAACACATTTGCTTCCTCTCCCGAGGCACAGAACGAGGGGTGCAGATGTCTATCATCATCCCACTTGACCACCAGCACCCAACCCCGACTGCAAAAAAGACTACCTGGTGAAGACCTGCTGGAGAGCCCCTATGGGCACCCTTCAGAAATAGAACTCTCGCATCACTAACACCGCTGCTGTTTAGTCATCAATTTTTCTGCATCACTTCAGCCACCTGCCAAGAAGAAAAATAAATCTCTTGCTTTTGTAGGCAGTTCTGGCACAAACCTGCGACACTTGCAAAAAA